GTCGAATTATAGTTTATTTTTTTTCTGTTTTTATTAGGCGTTATTAATTGATTTTTTTGTCGTTTGTGTGTTTTGGTATGGCATTTTATTTATATATTACTGATCCAGTTTCCGTCTATCATTTTGTACTGTTTCTATATCTAAAGTGTATGCTGATGTATGAAGATAACATACTGATTCAGTTATGTATGCTGAAAGAAATAGGTTCATACTGATACTTTCAGTTCCAGAGCAGTACCTCGAGGTTCTTCCTAGCTATTCATCTTGACAGGTTTAATAATGGGATGTCTGGGGCTCAAAATCCTTAGTTTCCTCATTTGCTTAGTGTAACCAGTCTTCCAGCCATGCTACTTTTTCTTGTGCCGCTACCTCTACCAGCCTCACTTTCCCCACACCACTATGCAATTTCAAGACTTCTTAAAGTTAATCTGATTCAATTAATTTATTTAATTTAGACATACCAGTTCTGAGCACTGATACTTTCCAAAGACAAGTTTGAAATTTCCGTTTTTAAGTCGTATTGTAACTGCTGTTTGGACTGGTTCTGTGTAATCAGTGTATAAAGCATATAAGCAAAATCTAGCTGGGACAGTGACTATCTTTGTCCATTACTTAGTTTGAAAGGTTAAGAATTCAATTTTATCTGTGCACTTTTAGGTCAGTCAGATTCTAGTTTAAAGTAAACTCAGGAGATTAGATTAACTGATAAAACAGAATCATGTTTATTAGTTTATTTTGAGACTGTAATTTCCAGTTAGACTTAAATACTTGTATTGCATCTCTAACATACACTCTTCCTAACTGGCAAAGTCTAATTTGAATATCAAGGTCAAAAGTCTTCTTGGGGAACAAAATTGGAAGGTAACTATTTTCATATAATTTAGTAACAGGGGTCCTCCAATCTTACTCTGGAAATATACCCTCCAATCAATAAAGACTTTCCATATACAGTCACTGTCCTCCCATTTCATTTCCCCAATGAAGTAATAGCAAGCCACCATCTTAGTTTTTGTTTTCCCTAATGTTTATTTTGAACATTTCCAAAATTGCAGAAAAGTTAATAAAATGACTATACATAGATCTTTCATCTACATGAACCAATTATCAATGTTTTGCTACATTTAGTTTATTTCACTTTATGTATGTAAGTACCATTGGGCCTCCTTACCCACAAGTAATTGTTTGTAGACTCAAATAATTGTGAATGGAATATATTTAGGGGAAGAATTGCATCCATACTAAACATATACAGACCACTTTTTCCTTGCATTGTTCCCTAAAGAAAATAGTGTAACAACTGTTCACATAGCATTTATATTGTGTTAGGAATTACAGGTCATCTAGAAATTATTGAAACTCTACAGGATGATGTAGGTTAATTGCAAGTATTTCATCACTTTGTATACAGAACTTGAGCATGTGCAGACTGTTTTAGCTATAGGGGTCCTGGAATCATTTCCCCCATAATACAAGGGACTACTGTAGGTACACATACAACATTTTCCACCTAAGCCATTAAAATAAATTGTAGACATGATGACAATTCATTCCAAATACTTCAGAGTGTATCTCCTAAGAATAACTGAATTTTTCTAGCATCACATCCAAGAAATTTAAAATTAATACAATACAATTATGTGATCTCTGTTCAGATTTTCCTTCTTGTTCCAATACTGTCCTTCATTCTTTTCCTATTTCTTTTTTTTTTTTTTTGGAAGAGAGGAGGATTCAGGATCCAATCACGGTTTCCACATTGCAATTAGTCTTTTTTATTTCCTTTAATCTGTAACAGGCCCCTGCTCCATTTTGCTTTTGTTTCCCCTTCCCCCACTCCAGACTTTTCTGATTTCATGATTAGACTTAGTGAAATATCTTTTTGAAAAATAATTATATAGATTGTATATGGTCTATTAGTCTATTACATCCCTACCAAACCCACAACATATTATACAATTATTAGTGACACTAAATTTGATTGCTTGATTGTGGCAGTTGCATCTGCCACTTCTCTGTGTCATAAAAGTACTAAATTAGTCTGAGATTTTACTTGAAGACTAGGTAAATACCCATTTTAGCAACTTTCTCTTAATTGATTCAAATTGGCCATTTCTAATCATTTTATAATTCTTTTGCTCTCTCTATATTTATTAGCTAATGGTCCTTTATAAACAGCAACTTTCCTTTATGCCTTTTCCTTTTTAAAAAATGCTTTACTGTGAACTCATAGAACTTTTGTTTACTCAGTGTGTTATAATCTGTTTCTGTTCTTTTTAAAACTGAAGTTGTCCCAGATTTGGACTTCCCTTCAACATAATGCCTATATTCTTTGCTACTACTCTATTATTCCTTGGTTTCTCTGTGTTATATTCCAGATTAACCTTGTACAATTATAAATTTTAACAGTTACATACTCTCTAGTTTTTACACTGAAACTAATACAATTGTACCTCTGATTTAGGTTTTCCCAAGTGTTGCTAAATTCCTGGGTTAAGGCAAGAATAAAATGATCAGGCAACTTTAACACTATCACTGTCGTTGCATATGGCTACAGTACAATTTGCCATTACTGTTGCCACTGCATTCTTACCATTGTGTGTGTGTGTTCTTCAGCCTTCTTCTGTGCATTTATTCTACTTAAAAATGAGAATGCTTGCTTATTGACAAGATGAAAATCATGCTTCATAATTTTATCTTAAGTTTCTTTGAGAGCTTATTCCATATAATTTGGTTGTGTCTCCATTCATGACCAGTTTGATGTACTTCTTAGTGTCTCATTTTTTTAGCAAGATGTGTAGATGAACTTTAAGGCAATGACTCCTAGTCAGAGTTTTATATCTTCAGCTTTTTTTTCTTTTTTCTTTTTTCTTTTTTTTTTTTGGTGGTATTGAGGCATTGTATTCAGGGCCTTGCCCTTACTAGGCAAGTCCTCTAACCTCTTGAGCCACACTCCCAGTCGATTTTGTTTTAGTTTATTTTTCAGATAGGTTCTTGTGTTATTTGTCCAGGGCAACCTGGGGCAGCATCAGACCACAATCTTCCTACTTCTGCTGGGATTGTAGGCATGAACCATCACTCTTGGCCCTATATCTATGACTTTCAAAAACCCATGTCTGCCTTGGTCATCCTGGAGCTTCTGATTGATTTGAATTTGGAAGAAATCCAGGCATTTTCTGTTTTTGCAATGTTCCAGAGGAGATTCTGATGCCCTCCATTGTTTGAGAAACACCACTTTTGGAAATTTTAAATATTGACTATTCTGTGTATCCCAAATCTCCTATTTCTTAGAACTCATTCCTCTAATTTTTTATTACTTGTCAACTTGATACAGCATTTGCAATAATTGTAAACAGCAAATGTTAGCAGCCTAGGATGTTGGTTCAATGTTAACTCAAATACTAACTCAATCAGGATCTATTATTTTTCTTTCTTTTTTACTATTTTTTTTTTTGCATTAGTGAAATGGCATATGTATTTTTGGGGGCGTTATAGCCATTTTTGTCTCCTTATTTCATTAACCTAAGTGTCGCTATTTTATAATGCAGTCCTTTTTATAATAACTGACATTGATTAGAAGTAATTCTTAAATTCCCATTAGTATCTGTTTTTCTGCTAACATTAAGAAAATAACACTAGTCATTTCTCACTTAAAAATATTCTTGTTAGCCAGGAGCTGGTGGCTCATGCCTATAATCCTTGCTACTTAAGAGGATCATGGTTTGAAGCCAGCCTGGGCAAATAGTTCGCAAGACCGTATCTCGAAAATACCCATCACAAAAAAGGGCTCATGGAGTGGTTCATGTGGTAAGATCACCTGTCTACCAAGCATGAGGCCCTGAATTCAAACCCCATTACTGCTCCCCTCAAAAGAAATATACATATTAATGCCATCATAGAGTTAAGGAGTCTTCTTTTTTTGACTTAAAACTAAACTTTATTCATTTTACAGGGTATATCTTTAAATTCAGAATGGTTTGCAAAGTATTTGCAGTCAACAGCAGCTGCATGTTCGGTAAGTATGAATTTTTAAAAAATGTTTTAGTTTACTTTGAAGAATTGTGGTAACATTTTTACCCAGATAAAAGTTTTCTCTCTAAATAGGTGTATCTCCTTCGTCATAGTCTGTAAGAATACACCCTTTGTAGTGGATTGAAATAGAATACATAAAGAAAAAGTTATGGCTATTCAATATACACAAGTTGAGTATCTCCAGGTTTATTGGCTGCAGTTGACTGTTCTGGGAAACTGTCATTTAGTAAATGCTTATTGCTGACCTAATGTGTGCCAGGCCTTGTTCCTAATCAGCTTAGATACTTCAGAAGACAGAAAAAAATCCTTCATAGAGCTAATAGTCTAAGTAAATGTCAGATCATGCTAAGTGCTGTGAAGGCAACAACTTAGGTAAAGAACATAGAAAGTGGTTGTAAGCGTGCTATTTTTATATGGGGTGATCAGGGCAGACATCTTTTAGAGAGTGATATTTGAGCAAAGCCCTGAAAGAAGTGAATGTGAGCCATGTAACCACAAAGGGGAAGAGCATTCTAAGCAGAGCCCAAAGCAGGAATGAGTCACAACAAGAAACCAGGAGCTCACTGGCTTGTTCATGCTTAAGAAACAGCAAGGAAGCTAGAGTGGTTGGAGCAGAGTGAGCAGAAAAAATGGAAAGGAAATGAGGTCAGAGGTGTTAGAAGGGGCTCTGGCAAGGACATAGCATTTATCCTAGAGGAGATAAAAGATTTTGTGCAAAGGAAGATATGATCTAACTTGAGGTTTTAAAAGTATTGCTGTAGGTCTATAATCCACATGTGAAGGAGAACATGTGATTTTTGCCCTTCTGAGCCTGGCTAACTTTGCTTAAGATGTTGTTCCTCAGTTCTATCCATTTACTTACGAATCACAAATTTTCATTCTTCTGACTGAATAAAATTCCATTGTGTATAAATACCACATTTTCTTAATCCATTCATTGGTAGTGGGACATCTTGGTTATTGTGAATAGTGCTGCAATAAACATGGGTGTGCTGGTGCCTTTGTAATAACCTGAGTTGCACTCCTTCAGGTATATCCCTAGGAGTGGTATTGCTGGATCATAGGGCAGATCTATGCTTAGTTTTTTAAGAAGCCTGAAACAAATGTGATAGTATTATTGCACATGGGTCATACATTAAGGGGAGAACACGCACGGGAGGAATATGGAAAGGAAAGAAAACTTGAATGTGGTTGATGTCCTCACTGTAGAGGAGCAAATATAGTAATCTTAAACTGGCAGAGACTACTATGGGAAGGGGACCAGGAAGTAGTGAGGAGGTCTGGTAGAGATGAACCATGGGATTGCAATACACATGTACATGGGAGCAACTCTAGGAATCTCTCTGTATAGCTATCTTTATCTCAAACTAGCAAAAACACTATGTCTTTCTTATTATCTCTTTAATAAAATCAGAGAACAAGAGGGCAGAACAGGTTCTGCCTGGAAAGGGGGAGGGGGCGAGGTTTGGAACAATGTATACACATGTAAGTAAATGTAACAACGATAAAATAGAATTTTTTTTTAAAGTATTGCTGTAGCTTGGAGAATAGATTTTGTTGGGGCAAGGACAGAAGCAGGGAGATCATGTAGGATAGTATTACAGTAATTTGAATGAGGAAGAGTGGAACTGTAGATAAGGGTGGTGCCATGGAAATTAGCAAAGTGTTTAGCTTCTGGCCATTCTTGAAAGACTGAGCCAACAGGATTTACTGATGAGTTGGATATGGAAAGTGAAAGAAATTAGCTCACTCTAAAGTTTTTGACTTGTATAACTAAAAGTAGAGTTGCCTTTATCTGATAAGGAAAATTAAGAAAGGTTTAGAGGTTAATGCAACAAAGGATCTTATTTTGCTGTTCATAAAACAAATTAAACAAAATAGATTATGTGTGCCAGATTTGATAGGTAAACATATTATTTTTCCCTTAAATATTTAATAGTTCTTAAAACTATTATGCTATAATTTTTTACTAAATTCTTTTAGTTACTTGTCTTTATATTATGGCCTAAATTTATAATTAAAATTTATTTTTCTTTCCATATGGAATGCTTCTTTTCTACTATGTAAACTATAGGAAAGGTATTAAAAAGCAGAAGAATAAAAACCAAAGAATTAGTGGAGTGGGTAAAATTAAAAGGAGGCATAATTTTTCTATTAATATCACATTCCCTTTCTTTGCCTTTGTTTTGTAGATGTATGCCAACCTAACATCTTGCCAAGCTCTTGGAAATATTTGTGTGATGAACATGAACTCTTTCAGCTCTACAACATTTGATGCATGTCGAGTGTTTCAGTATATTTTTGAAAACACTGCTGGACTGAGCACTGTTCATTCTATTCCATTTTGGTGAGAACATTTTGAGCGATGAGATGTCATTTTGACTGAATTCTGTACATTATTTCTACAAGTATTAATAATAAGAAATTTTTCTTTTTATTAAAAACAATGTTAATTATAGGAGACAGAGTCTTCCATGGCTGTTTTATGGAGACCAGCTAGGACTGGCACCTCAAATACTCAGTACAACACCTCTTCCTACAAATTTCACTTTTAAAGGCCAAAACCAGGTACAGTCTCTGTATCATTAAAGGATAACTACATTTTGATTTGCAACTTTAAAAGATATAAAAAAGTTACTAGACACAATACTTAATTTTTACAACCTCACACTTGCTAAGCAAGAATTCTACCACTTAAGTAGATCCCCAGTCCTTTCACTTTTTTAGTTTGTTGTTCAGATAGGGTCTTGCGCTAACTTTACCTTAGCTAGCCTCAAACCATGATTCTCCTTTCTCCAACTCCCAAGTACCTGGAATTACAGGTGAGGGCCACCATGCCTAGCCCTTACTCTAGCTTTTTAGCTTTTCATCAAGGAATAATACCTTCTCTCCTCCTCCCCCACCCATTTAACAGGTTTTAAAGGAGGTTATCTGTCACTGGCACTGCCTCTCTATGTTAAAATTTGTATTTAAAAACACAATCCAGTTCTTTAAAGTGTAGTCATAGAAATCAGTTAATTTAGATTAAAAATAAAGTTAGTTGAATTTAATTTTGCAACAAAAACAGTAAACAGTGAAAAAGTACTTTGCAATGAAAACATCTTTATGGAATGTTATATTGACTTCAGAGTCTTTATTTTGTTGTTGCTTTTCTTTAATCAGAACACAAAACTAAAGTTTGTTGCTGCCTCCTATGATATAAAAGGAAATTTTCTCAAGTGGCAAACTTTAGAAGGAGGTGTTATACAGGTAAGCATGATTCTAGCTAAAGAATTACTAATGTTCTTTATAAGACTAGATTATTGCTTGAAGGATGTTGGTTACAGACCACCATTGTTTTTTTTTTTCTGATGCTTTAAATTGAAATTTCTTAAACCTGTTTTTTAAGTTATTGTTCTAATTTGGAACAAAGGTACTCCCTTAACTTTTCATACCCTTAATACCTTAAGTAAATATTATATAGAGCATATATCAGCATGGGAGCTAGAGAACTCTTGACTCTAAGCAAAAAAAAAAATGTTTGTGAGATATATTTATCAGTTGTATTTATTTATTTATTTTTTTATTTATTGCTGAAGCTTTGTCCAGACACAGAGAAAAGACTAAATGCTGCTTATTCTTTTGGAACAACCTATCAACAAAATGTAAGTTTGAATGAGATATGTTGAAACTATTCTAGGAATGGAAGATGGGGAGGATAAATGAGAATGATAGCAGGGATGAACTGAACTATGGTTTATTGTGAGAACTTTTGTAAATGTCACAGTGTACCCCCAATACAACAATAATATGATAATAACTTTTAAAATGTAAGCTTAGCAATATTAGATAGTCTACATTTTACCTTTGTTTTTTAAAATACCACACCACAAGAATTAGAATATGTGAATTTTTATAATTGGAATAATGAATAATTTTATTAATTAACAAAGCTTTTCATTATGTGAGCACAAAAAATGTAATTTAACCAGCAAGATGAAAGTACCTTTTCATCTGTAGACTCTTAAGTGTCCTATAATGTTAGATTTTTATAGTTAATTATTTATCTGCTCTTGGGCTTATATATCTTAAAAAAGAATGCTACTTCTAAGCATTTTGAAATAAAATTACAGATATTCCTTTATTTTTTAGTAACTAATAAAAATGTTATTCCTTCTTTACTCTAGCCCCTAATAACAAATAAAAATGCATCCTTTTATCTCCCTCTATATTTTCCCTTCTCTCTCCATATATTGCTTTCTCCTTTCTGCCCTAACTCCATTTCAAAATGGTACAAAAGAATATTGTTGTGCACCATTAAATATTTGAAAGGCACTCAAGAGTGAGCAAAAATGCTACTTTTTTTTTTTTTTTTTTTTGATGGGACTGGTGCTTGAACTCAAGGCTTCTGTATTTTCAAAGCAGGCACTCTACTACTTGGGTTATACTTCAGTCCATTTTATTCTGTTTTTTTTTTTTTTTTTGGAGATGGGGTCTCACAAACTGTTTGCCCAGACTGACCTTAAACCATGATCCTCCTGATCTCAACTTCCCAAGTAGCTAGGATTACAGAGGTGAGCCACCAGTGTCTGGTGAAAATGCCTTTTTTTTTTTCCATACTGAGTTTACACTCTTACCACTTGAGCCATGTCCCCATCCTAAAATATAACTTAAATCCCTAAGTTTTTTTCTGTGATATCTTTCATCATGGTAGTCCCACTCCCCAATCCCCCCTCCCTGGCATGCTAGAAATAGAACCCAGGGCCTAACACTAGCTAGGCAAGTGCTCTATCCTTGAGCTGCAGCCCCAGCCCAAAATTCTTCTTGATGAAATGTATGTACACATATGTAGAACAAAACCACAATGAAAAATACCAGGAAAACAGGTTGGAAGAAAATAACACATTTTTAACAGTGGTTATCTTTGGATGGTTATATTACGGATGATTTTTGTCTTATAGTTTTCGAAATTTTCTATCATGAAAATGAATTTACTTTACTGTCAGAAATAGCATATACTTTTTTTTCGTTTTTGTTTTTAAAACAGAACTGTTACTGTGTTTACTCTGGGCTAGGAGGATCAACACTTGTTAAGTACCCACTACTACTGTGTACTCAGCAACTTATCGTTATCTCATTATGTGAGATGCTTATCATCTGTTCATGAAGAAATGGTGCTCAGTAAGATTAGATGATTTACTCAGTCTTGCATCAAGTAAACTATGAAATCAATGCTCTGCTAGCCCCCACTCATGTAGTTCATAGCTCAATAGGCAAAACAGTGATACTGACAGTACACTGCAAAGAGTGTGATCACTGTTGTGCTATAGATATGTATAAGGTACCAGTTCCCAAGGAAATACAGAAAGATTTCACAGAATTAGTGATATTTGGGCTTATGTAATGAACATGAGTTGGACCAAATATAGTGAAGGAAATGTCAGCCAGAATCCAAATTTGCAGTGGCAGAGAGAGAATGGCACTGCACAGCTAGAAACTGCAGTAGGTTAGTATGACTAGATGACCATAGATTGGTAGAAGCTTAGCTCTACTAAGGGTAACCAAATCATAAACATTATATGATATCAGGAGAAAGAATTGGGACTCCATCCCATAGGACAATAATAGTTTTTAAACCTCTTCACTAATGTCCACTTACTATTAAGAATGAAGGCATAGCTTCTTCATGTGTCTTATGGATCAAGAACAAAGCAGTTCCTGTGCTGTTAGTTTTTTGGCTATTATAAAAGAATCATATATATGAATTTATGTTTTAGAAGTCACACAGAAATGTATGCAAACAAATAGTTTAAAGATACTTTATTTTGCAAAGCTAAGAAGACACTGTTTGAAAGAGAATATTCTAATTTTCAATTGTGATGCTTTTATTCTTAATTTTCTTTTCCAGTGTGAGATTCCTGTTTCTAAGATCTTAACTGGTTTTCACTCTCCTGTATTTTATGATGTGTTCCTTGAATATACTGATGAAAATCAACACCAAAGTCTTTGGGCTGTGCCTGTTTTAAACCTAAATCTTCAACACAATAGAATATTTGTGAACCAAGGTAAAACATCCTGCATACCACTCTTTCTCTGACTGAAATCAATAAACAAGTCAGCCAACATGATAACTCAGTGAACCATTAATTATAAGAAATAAAAATTCTCTCTTTATGGTTTTATACAATATGCCAAAAAGCAAAGCAATAAGATTGCTGGCGTATTTAGGGATTCTTATTAATTTTAACATGCGTATTGTTAAGAAATTACAGTATTGCTAAGAATATATCATGAGAAAAATTAATAGAACTATAAAATGAGGCTTTTTCTTCAAGCTGTCTTTTTGGGCAGATTAATGTCTTTTCTTGTTACTCAGGCTATAAAATCTGACTTTTTTAGGTAATTTGCATCCAAGTTGATGAAAAGTTCAAACTTTTAGAAGACATTAGAGTGAGGTGGAAAAAGACTTACCAGCAGTAGCTCTTTGTAGCTATCCTATGTAAACAAAATATTAATTTTTTATATTTGGTAAACTTTTTGACAGCCATTTGAACAATTTGAGAATATTTTTTTACTGTCATTTCTTTTCTCCCCCTTTTTATAATAAAAGACAGTAGCTCTAGCAAGTGGCTTCTTACTCGGCGCATTTTCTTAGTGGATGCAGTAAGTGGACGAGAAAATGACTTAGGAAGTCAGCCAAAAGTAATTCGAATTGCAACCCAGATATCACTGAGGTAAACAAATGTCTAATGACTAAATTAGGTTTCAAGTATATGGGAAGTGTTATAATGAAAATGTTTACTGGTAATTACCAAATGAAAATAATAAGGACAACTGAATTAGAATAATACATAAGGTTTTCTTAGATATTTCTAGATTGGCAAAGACTAATATCGGTCAGGAGCCAAAGGGGGAATTACATCAGAGAAGCCTGAGGAGTTCATTCCGAATTCATAGTCAGCCCCACTCTAGACCTGCTGAGTTACAGTGGGTTAAAAGAGGAAGGGAAGGTGAGCTGAAACGGGTATTTAGTAAGAACCTGCCAGAGGATTGTTAGTAGTGTAGCTTCCCTCATCCTTGATTCCTTACATGGCTGTTGTTCTAGGTTGACCCAGATTAATTAGCAGTACCTCCCTCTTCCAATAATATGCTAACTGATCCTGTCTTACAGTGGTACCATGCAGCTTGTGTTTCTCTGTCTTTTTCAATGTTAAGATTGCGCTCTGAGACTTCAACTGACTCCCTCTCTAATTTTGTGTTGTGTACTTTAATACACTTATGAAAATCAACACCAACATCTTACATTGCACTTTGAAGCACTTAAATATACATTCTTTCTTTTTTCACTGTTATTTTATTTTGATTCTGTATGGAATTTTTGTCATATGTCTTACTGAATTCCAAATGTTCTGTGATTTCAACATTCCATCAATCTACTAAAGTAGTATCCCTAATAAAAAATGCAATTGAACCTAGTCAGGCTTGACTTATGTTTAATGAAACCTCCTTTTTGAGATCACTAACTGTGCCAGAGCAATGCATTGTACTTGGCAAAAAGTGCCCACTTTGTACCTTAAATACTACTAGGTGTGATACTTTTGTTTTGTTTTTTTTAAGAATTCAACTATCTCATTTGAAAATCAGGATAGCATCTGCCTTTCTTTAGGGTTCATTTACCACCGCTCTTTAAGGATGGCTCACAATGCTACAGTGATTTCATATGACCTGGATCAAAAGAGTTTCTTTTTGTTTGTTTGTTTGTTTTTTTCCTTTTGTTACATTTTTTTGCAGTGCTGAGGATTAAATCCAGGGTCTTGCATATGCTAGGCAAGTGCTGTACCACTGAACTACTCCCAGCCCTCTAGTTTGTCTCACAGTGTACTTTTCATATTAATGTTTTCACTACTTAACATTAACTGGTGCTGTTATCATTAGTTTGTGTTTAACCTCTAGTCATTACTAGCTGGTTAGTTCTGAGATCATCATAACAATCTACATTAAATTCAAAAGAAATGATAAATGTATGCTTAAGGGCCTAGATATATTTATAATTATATTTTCTTTTAAATAGCATTCACCTTGTGCCAAACACAAAAAATGGAAACATATACCCTCCCTTAATCACCATTGCCTACAGTGACATTGATATCAAAGATCCCAATAGACAGTCTGTAAAGGTGAGTTCTTTACTAGTTAGTACCCTTGTATGTATAAATACAATGTAGATGCAGTTTACATAATAATTAAAATGCAACCTTTTTTTTAAGTTTACAACAAACTCTTCTCTGGTCATGTCTTAACTGGCGTTAACTAATAATGGTAAGAGGTGAGTTCTTTCGGATGTTGGGTATAAAAATACAGGAATGGATTACATTTTTCTGTAAAAGAGTCGCCAGCAGTTAAGCATTCCTGTTAGGGATCGGGGTATGCTCAGGTATGCAATCTCTGCTTCTGTGCTTTCTGGCCATTTTGCTTCTTGTCTCCTTGACTAATTAAACCAGGAACTCATAATTTATAGTAGGCATATGTGTGCCTGCCAATCAATAGCCATGGATAGAGATACATTTCAATGGTCAGAAAGAAATTAAAATCATCAGCTTTATAACTAGTGGTTCTAAAGTGAACCAGAGAATAAGATTTGGATCTGCAGCCTCAGTTCACTACAAAACTAAAGGCCTTCCATGCCTGGGAGGGTCTGTATATGGAAGGAAGAGACCTTGTATATCCCAAAGACCAGCTGCACCAGAGGATAAGCTGGAAAAGGCTGAGCCACACTTATCTCCTCCTCTCAGTCTCACCAGTCAGATAAAGCATCTCTGCTTTGAGGAGAGATAAATGAAAGAGGGATGGAGATAAAAACCAGAGGTATTCCTTCTCCGCTTTTTTTTCCTTCCTTTAAAAATTAAGTGAGTATTTTCTGCCCTCTCTGGAAACATGAGAAATAGGGGATAAGCATTGCTTACCTCCAAAGCTCACTAATTGCTTTTAATATCTATTATTTTACTTTTCTGGATTTTAATATTCTATTACCTTGCCTGTGCTTTTGGTCTTTCTGGCGTACTTATACTTGTATTTTTCTACTATTGGATTCAGACTTCAATTAAGCAAAATTAGGCACATGATATAACTTTCTCTTAAAGGGTTCCCATCCTCATTTCTACTACCTAATATGATGTTAAAATTAGTTTTCATTTACTGAGCTGTAAAGAGAGAAAAAAATCCTAAAACATGCTTAATGTCAACAAAAGGTGCTTGATTGAAAACTTCTGGAGTAATTATTCACGGATGACCAAGAGTATCTTATCTTGATATAAAATACTTCTAAGTCTTTTCTTCAAACATTCTTGACCAAAATGTCCCAAACCAAGTCTGGAGAAACTGAAAAATAAGAAATAAAAATGGAGTTGAGAAAATCATGAAAGTACCTTGACTAAGTCCACCTCAAATTCATTCTAATTATAAAATGTATAGGTCTTTCATTATATTTTAATTTCCCATAACAGCTGTTGCAAAAATCCTGTTAATCAGTTTTCAGCACCTATGTCTCTGTTCTCTCACCCTCAGCAAATAGCCTCGCTTCCTATTTTTCTGAGCAGATCAAGATTATCAAATATGAATTCTCTCAGATTTCCTCTTTAATTCTTCAGAATCTGTCTTTTGTTATCCTTCCCATTCTTGTTCCTGTTTCTAAGAGAGAAGGTTCCCTCCTTTCCTAAGCTGATCTTTTACCTGTGCTTGTTTATAGTATCCTATTTCATCCTAGCTCCTTCTTCAGCCAGCCCCTCTGCTAGGACCTTTCCTTTGCTTATAAAACTCTCAAGATGCTTTACCTTAAGAACAAATTAAAACAACCAATCCAACAATTAATTTTGTCCCCAGAATTGACAGCTGTTCAGCTTGCCGTTGGATCTCTTTCCTTCATTTCCCAGCCATTTGTTCTTTACATCATTTTCAGTCTGACTTTGACCTTTTTACTTCTTTAAAAACGTCTTATGAATGTCAGCAGTCAAGTCTGTAGATAGCGGCTATATTTCTTTAATTTGACATTTATATGAAATTCTGACACTGTACTCTTGGCTATCTCCTTCCTGAAATTCCCCATTTGTGACTGCGGTAAGACTTAGATAATTACCTCTCCTACTGCTCCCAGACCTCTTAACCCTTACCAGCTGTTTTTCCCTTGTCTTTTAATATAGTGGTATCCCTAAGATTCTTGTTCAGACTTTTGAGTACTCTGCTTTTCTAGGACATAGTTGTTTTACTTGTCAATAAATTCTTGATACACAAGTTCAGTCACATTTCTCAGTTGCAGAACCCTATCAAAAATGAAATGTGAATATTTTGGCTTGAACTGCTATTAAAGAGCCTAACTTATCTCCTAATGAACCCCTCTTTCATGTTTATTTAAGAGAGATATTTGAAGCACCATGAATAATTTTCAAAAAGCGTACTTATTCATGTGTAAATAAGGATCAACTCTAGTACCATTGACAGTTTAAATGTAGCATTTTGGGTAAAAATCTAACTACAAATATCTTTTTATAATCAAAGTAGGTTTGTTTTATATAATTTCAGTGTGGCTATTTTTTTCTTTTAAATATCAGGTTTTTTTCTCAGTCAAATATGAAATGAATCAAGGGGATGCATATATTCAGACAGATGTGAGTACATTTTAACCTGTTAAATGATTTACATTATATTTTTAATTAATAAAAATAATTTCAAATGTACAAGAAAGTTGCCAGAATAAATTTGTCATATACTTTTATCCTGGCCAACCCTAACATTAACATCTTAATAACCATAGATCATTATATGACCGCAATCATGCAATGATTATAACCATGAAATTAATATTGATGTAATCCTATTAACTAATCTGCATACTGTTTGAATTTCACAGGGTTTTCTGTTGTGGTTGTTGTTGTTTTTACTATCTTCTTTGTTTTAAGACCCAATCCAGATCCCATGTTGCTTTTAGCTGTCATGTTTCTTTAGTGTTCTCCAATCTGCCACAGGTTTTCAGTGTTTCATTCTTTCATGACCATAACACTTTTTTTTTTTGTGGTACTAGAGTTTGAACTCAGCACCTCAAGCTTACTAGGCAGGCTTGAGCCATACCTCCAGCCTAACCATAACACTTTTGAAGAATACTTGTTAAGCCATGTGTTTGTGACTCATACCTGTAATTCTAGCTACTTGGGAGGCTGATACTGGAAGGATTACAATTAAGGGCCAGCCTAGGCAAACAGTTTGTGAGACCCCATCTCAACCAATAGCTGGCACAGTGGCACGCCAGCCACATGGGAGGCTGAGATAAGGAGAATTGTGGTTTGAGGCCAGCCCAATCAAAAAAAAAAATGTTTGATAGAGCCCTTCTCAACAGAAAAGAGCTGGGCATGGTGGCGTGCAACTTTCATCTCAGCTACAGTGGGAAGCCTAAAATAGGAGGATCACAGTCCAGGCCTCTGGCCTCGGTGAAAAGCGAGACCTTATTGCCAAAATAACCAGAGCAAAAAGGACTGGAGGCATGGCTCAAGAGGTAGAGCACCTGCCTAACAAGCGTGAGGCCCTGAGTACAAACACTAATTCCACCAGAAAATTTAAAAAAACAAAACAAACAAACAAAAAAAAAAACCAGTTCTTGTTCATTATTTTGGCCCTCAATTTGGATTTGTCTGGTGTTTTCCCAAGATTAAATTGAATTCATGTTAGTTTGACAAAAATATCACAGACATTGTATTGTTTGTTCTCTTCTCAGTACATTCTACCAAGGGAGCACATGACATCAATATGTCTTACTGCTGTGACATTAATTTTGTTCATATGGCTAAGATTGTTTCTTCATCATTCTTATGTCTATTTTTCCATTTGTATTATAAGTGTCTCATGGGGAGATGCTTTGAAATTACTCTTACTCTCTAATTTTAGAATCTATTGATGATCCTCACCTTCAGAAAGTATTACTCTGATATTTGCCTAGTCATGATTTTTCTTTTTCCCTAATTCCTTCTATGTCTATGAATTAGAACTTTATAATAAAGAAAAACTTTCCTTTTGCCCACATTAATTTACTTATTCGATTTGTTTAGATCCATGAGAAAACGCATGGATATTTATTTTAGGTCATTATAATCCATTACTATTTATTTTCTCGGTCTGAGATTTGATCTAAGATTTGTTCTGAGATTTGATCAGTGGAACCCCCTTCAGACTGGTTCCTGGGTCCTTTCAGCTGCCCCTCACCATTTTTGAATACTTCTTACTTTCTATTTACAGTGTTTTTGAGTACTAATGAAAGGAATTATACAAATTCTAAAATGTTCTTTTTAATTTTTTGTAGATTGCTTTGGGTGTGTTGGGTGGGCTAGCTGTGTTATCATCTCTTTTGAAGACAGCAGGATGGAAGAAGCGCATTGGGAGTCCAATGATTGATTTACAGGTATAATCTCAGGAGTCTTTAAAGTATGTTTGTATCTTTTTATTGTTTTGGATCTTTCTCATAAGACACAGCTAGAGGATGAATAAGAAAGTTGCTTCAAATTTCTCTGGGGGTATAAATTAGGATAGGTGTTGTTAGGTCATTGAGTATACACACACTTCATTTTATTTTCATAGCTATGTGCCAGTCAACATTCCCACTGGCATACATTCTTGTTTTTGCCCATCTCACCAACACTTGATGTTTTCCCATACTTCCATTTTTTGCCAATCTGGTGTTATATATATTAGAATGTCATTATTGATTTTATTTTCATTTGTCTTAATATTTTTCACATACTTTTAAATTACTTGAGTTACTTTTTCTGTAAACTGCCTATTTATATCCCTTGCCCATGTTTCTATTACAATTCTAGTTTTTCTTCTTTATTTAAAGGCGTTTTTTCCTATCTTTTCAATATTAATCCCTTTTTAGGTTTTGTTGTTGAAATAATTTCTGTTATCATTATTATCCATGTGGCCTTTTATTTAACAAAAACTTGAATTTTGATACTGTCACATCTAAATTTTTTTTTGTTATTGTACATGCTTTTAGTATCTTTTTTAGGAAAATCTTCCTCTCTTAACACCAAAAAGATATTCTTCTACATTTTATTCTATTAACTTTATAATTTTACTTCTCATTTAATCTTTTTATGTTAAAAATTTTTTCTAACATTTATTGAATATTTGTTTTGTGCCAGATACCTTTTTGAGTTTTACGTGCATAATTCACTTAATCCTCTATGAAGTTAGGTATTATTACTCCCACTTATACATGGTGAAACTGAGACAGAGGTTCAATTTTCTGATCAGCTTTTACAATAACTCAGCAAAAGTTATTTCCATTTTGCTGATGAAAAACATGAGAAAGGCTAGATAGTATCTTATTTAACCAGGGTATCTTCTTTACTCTAAAGCCAGTGTGCTGAAGAGTCAGAACAGGAGGGCTTGATTTACTGTTTAAAATAGTCAAGAAAGGCTTTCCAGAAAGTGAACTCTTAAGCTAGATTATCTGTTCATTCTATGATAGTCACTGAGGACCTTCTGTCTGAATGCCTGGCACTACACCAGCACGAGGCAGTATGAAAGTGAGCAAACAAAGGATGGTCTGTGTCCTCAGAGCTTATGAAAGTTTGCTAGAGAGAGGAAGGGAAAAAAATATTTGGTAAAATAATGCTCATTTCATTCCACAAAGTATTTAGGATGAAAGTATAGAGTGGTTAATCATTGAGTAAGTAGTTAGAACTGGCAAATGAACTAAATAAAAAGCTAACTTTGGTCCATGTTATAAAGGACCTTATGGGCTAAGAATTTATATTCTAGTGAGGAGTCATTGTATATTCATAAGAAAGGAAGTGACATAATCCAATTTATATTTTAGAAAACTAAAGGATAGATTGGAGTGGAGATTCCCACCTCAGAAAATTTGGAAACAGTTCCACTTCCTTAAATAGTGAGTGAAAGATGAGAAGACTTGAAAGGAGACAGAGGCTACTGAGAATGGAACGGAAAGTAAAGATCCAGAAGAATCTGTGTAGGAGGGGAACTCATTTTGTCTTCATTGGATACATGAAACAAAGCTTCAGGCTTGAGAAAATGGGTGGATGATATATTATTAGAAGTAATAATGTTACCTAAAGTGGTAAATAGATGGAGTCTTTAACAGCTGTAATTCTTCTTTTTGAATTGTAGACAGTTATGAAGTTCTTGGCATACTATGCTGGTGATCTGGCCAACGTTTTTTTCATCATCACAGTGGGAACAGGTCTTTATTGGCTTATTTTCTTCAAAGTGAGTGAGTTTCTGAACTTAACCTAAATGACAATATCCGAATAACTGGTAAGCTGTCTTTATAAGGGAATTATTTTTCTTTGAGGATATTTCTGCTCAAGACTATTGAGGCAAATCCTAAACTCACCATTCCCTGAGCATGCTATCTTTTGAGTACATCACTATCTCCCTGTTTTGTGCTTCCTTTGATTTACAAATTGTATATAGTAAAAACTTCATGTGATTTTATTTACCAAATGCTTTTTATCGTAGGCACAAACATCTGTCTCTGTTTTGTTACCAATGCCAGATCAAGAAGAACGTTTTGTTACTTATGTGGGATGTGCTTTTGCTCTGAAGGTAAGTTTCAAGGACAGGTTACCAAACATCAAAGTCTGCTAATAAATTAATATGTCTTTAAAATTAAGATGCTTTCAAAATCTTTGCTATAAAACTGACTTTGAGATCAAAAGAAAGCATTTTATATTACACAGGAAATATGCCTTTTTTTATAATAAATCATTCAAAAATTTGCCTGTAGACAATTTTTCTCTAAGAAAACATCATGAGTTGTTGCTAATTTGATAACATGCTGTTTCAGTGCATAACTTCTTTGAAGTCTAATGATGCATTCACAATGGGACAAAAATGCCTTCTGACATGAATTTTATCCCTTTGTTAATCAAGGGTAACACTGTGTAAAGTTCTGAAATCTTAGGAATTGTTTTCTCTATGTCCATATTCCTTTCATCCTGTTCTTCCCATGACATCTCCTCCCCAGCTGTCTGTCCATATAGATGATGCTCTTTCCTTGCCTCTTTGAAAAGTCTCACCCATTGTATTGTGATGGTTAGTCTCTGCTTTTCCCGTAGGAGCTCCTTGAGGAGAGTTATCATCTCATACTTAAATTTTTATCCTTTGGTCAATAATGTATCTATTAGGAAGCATGCCTCAATTTAAACATATTGCTCCTATAAATGAGAAAGATGTGTTTCAACCACACATTTTTTAAAATTATAAATCTCAGTACCAGAGATAGTTAATTAGGTTAGCAAACTACACTTAAAAATGTCTTTACTTTTAAAGAAGTCAGACAATCTACAAAACCTTAGAAAGGAGAGTCAAATATGCACGGCCCCTCTGGGGGAAAGAGGAAGAAGGATGTCTTCTTTTTTCATGTTCTTATTTTAATGAAAGAAAGAAAAAGGGAAGGTGAATTATTAGGTGCATGACAATTCTGTGGATTGGGTGATTCCAATTGATATAATGAGCATCTAGTGACCCCACTAGTGGTATAATAATTGCATGTGAACTCATTTGTAAAACTTTCGTGCTCCTGTGATTACAGCATCTTTCTTAAAGCATCAATATTGGTTTCACAGACAAGATTAATGCTGCTACTTTTCAGGTGTTTTATTATATGTCATTTCAGGCCCTGCAATTTTTGCATAAGCTCATATCCCAGATTACCATAGACATATTCTTTATTGACTGGGAGCGACCTAAAGGAAAAGTTCTTAAAGCTGTTGAAGGTAATTGAAATAAACATCTGTACCAGAATCCTTTTGCTACCCTTGTAGAGCACAAGTGAAAGACTTTTATCCATTTTATCTCTCCAAAAGGTGAGGGTGGTGTACGGAGTGCCACTGTTCCTGTAAGCATATGGAGAACATATTTTGTAGCAAATGAATGGAATGAGATTCAGACTGTGAGAAAAATCAATCCACTTTTTCAAGTACTCACTGTCCTCTTCTTTCTGGAGGTATAAACTGGTTGATGTAATTAAATGCAACTTCTTAGTACTTCATAAATGTTAATGTAATTCCAACTAAGTTTCCATGACAACCGAACAGTTTTCTACAGGTTAAAGTATTGTTATCAAAACATGGAAGAGGAATGCTTTTAGAAAATTGTGTGCCCTCTCTTTTCCCCTTTTCTCCTCATAAAATAAACAAAACAAAAAAACTAAAAGTAAATGTAGTGAAATACTTATAAAATTTACATCAGTTGCATAAATTTACCAACAATGTGCAAAACTCTCACCACCATCCATCTCTAGAAATCTTACAAAACTCAAACTCCATACCCATTAAGTAATTCTATACCTATTCCTTCCCCAGCCACTGACTACCATCATTCTGCTTTCTATCTCCATGAATTTGACTACTCTAGGTTTAAAGAGTAGCTTTAAACCACTGATTCATATCAGAATCCCCTGGAGTAACTTATGTAAAATATTTATGCTCCTCACCCTTAGAGATTATATTTGATTTAGTAGCTTTGAGGCAAACTTAGGTATCTATACTCTTTCCCCATGATCTATATTCTCACCCCTACATTAGAACCACTACAGTAAGGTTGATCTTTTTGAACAAATTATTAATGAACACCTACTTGTACTATGTATTGTGCTGAAAGCGGAGCTACAGCTGAACAATATACAGCACACTTAATCATATATTTGTAGTTATCTCATGGATCTCACTGGAATACTTACTCAGTTCTGGATATTAGACTCAAACATGGAAAAAAAAATTTCTAAGTGAGTCAGGTTAAGGAATTATGTGCCTTAATAAACTTGGGTATTAATTACTAATTTTTACTCTGCCTTTCTTTGTCTTTCCTTTTTTCTTTTTTTTTTTACTCCTATTTTTAAAACTAGTAGAAGAATGTGTATATCCCTAGCATTTTAAATAATATTTACAATACTTCAAAACTTCAGTTGAAGTAGTACTTTGGGTTTTTAATTGTCAAGTGGAAATTGTATGTATTTATAGTGTACAATGTGATATGTTAATTCATGTATAATAAACATGTGGTGGATGGCTAAGCAAGCTAACATATCGTTCTTTATAGAAAGTAGTGTTTTTAAAAATTTAAAAGGTGTTACATAAAGAAGTTTTACAACTAAGTTTCTAAAACACTAGATTCAATAAAATCATGTAAAAACCTCACAGTAAAACTTCTTGAAGCCTTCATTCTACAGACTTGGAAGGTATGACAGTGAATGTAATGTACAGACCAAACTTACTTAACTATGGCTTCTTTTCACCCAAGAAGGTACAGTCTTCAGAAATCATTTTGGAATATATTTTTTTCAATTACAAAAAGTATTTAGTATAGTGCCTAGCTTATGTTAAATACTCATGAACTGCTAGTTGTTAGTTTAACTCATTGGTAGTTTACTGAAGAAGTTTTATTCTTTTAGCAAAAATTTTTATTTTGTTGGTGTATAAGACAATGAGGTACATTTGGCCCTTAGTCATGTCAAGAAGAAAATCCAACTGAGTATTTGTAATAAATGCTTTGTACTTAAAATACTGGGTAATAATTATTTTTATCTACAAACTTTTATATTTTCATTGTTTCAAAGTAAGGAGTACAGTATTCCATTTTTAGTCAGAAGGTTTTCTTTATCCATGTTTATTCAAATTATTTAATCTTTTTCTTTTTTACTCTAGGTGGTAGGATTCAAGAACTTAGCATTGATGGATTCATCCTCTAGTCTTTCTAGAGACCCATCAGACTACATAGCTCCTTATAGCCGCATTTTGAGATATGCAGTATCCACTGCTCTTTGGCTGGTCATTGGAATTATACAGGTAACAAGAGATTAGACTTTTATGTAACATTACCCCTCTAAAACTCTCCTTGCATATTGATTGCACTCAACTATTGACCATATTCTGATTTCTATAGCAGAAAGAAGGTGACAGAAACAATAACAGCTACTTCTCTCATTGTGCTGTGTTAATCAGTTAGCTGCTTTACACACATGATTTAATTTTTACACTAGCTGTCAGAGATAGGTTTTAGTAGCATCCTCATTTTACAGTTGAGGAAGCTTGTTTCTTAAAGTCATTTAACTAGTAGTTAGGAGAAACAGAATTTGAACCCAGGCACTTGATTTCAGAGTTCACATTCTTTCAATAGTGGGCTCTGCAGCTTTCTAGTCATAGGACAGACCCCTTGTCTAATTTATATATAACTAAAGGGATAGCTGTGCTACCCTAAGTATTTTCTGTTCTTTTGAAACATGGCTTATTATCATTAAATCTTACTCTTAACTGCTAATAGTTCTTGGAGTGGGGTACTAAAAACAAATCCTGTCAGCTTCAGGGTTCTGTGGCTCTAACAGAGGTTCTTTTCTAGGCTTATTTTCCTTATCTTTTGGCCATGCTAGGAATGGAACCCAGGGCCTTGTGCATGCTAGACACTGTACCACTGAGCTACATCCCAACCTGAGAATTGACTTTTGAACTTTGTTGTAAGTTGGTAGTAAGATTTGTTTAAACTTAAAGCTACAGGGATAGATCTATTGAGTAACAATCAAAAAAGGAAGACAAACAAATTAGAATTTGAAATAAGATGGGATCAAGAATATGAGGTTTGATGTTTATCATCAATATAATAGTAAGAAATTATTTTGTGCATATACCTGTTTGTTTTGTGAATATATCACAGATTCATCTGATTGTACAGAATTTAAAGGAGTGCCATCTAAAGCTTCTCATATTTGATTTAATGTAACAAAACAAATCAAAATGGGCATGACTGAAGTAAAAGAGAACTTTCCCATGAAAAGAAGAGCAGGGGTCAGCAGTTGCAGGGCTGAAGTGATGACTCAGTGCTGCGGTCGGGATCCAGAGGCCTGTTCTGCTCTGCCACATGGGATCTTGTGATCCATAACAGCTGGTGGAGTTGCAGGAGGGAATCAAGAGAGACAAGCTCACTGTGCCCTCTTTAAGAGTCTTTCAGAAGTGCCATTCGACACTTCCTTGGCTAGAACTTAGTCACATGACCACACTTAGATGCACTGGCTTTTTTCAGCTGGGCAGCAGTGTGTGCCCTGCTCAAAGGACAGATCTATTACTAAGGGGAAAGAGGAAAGGATTGTTGGGTTGGCATCTACAAACTGGATGCCAATATCTAACTTTGTTCTTTGCTTCTAACTTTGCTCTTAGACTAACAGGAAAGTATTTTTCCCTATAGCAATATTCTAAGATTATCAGTGTTTATTCCTCATGTATCCTTGGGAGTTCTTTTAATAACCTGTTACAGTTTCACAAATTTGTCTAACCTCTACTGGGTTATAATAATCACTCAGGCTTTGTATATTGTTCATTTCTTTCATTCCATAAATCTAGTCTCTTCAGGTTTTAAACAGTATTATATCCTTTAATTTTTAAACTTTGAATGTTAGTGCTTTTCATGTTCTTCAAAGGGGGTTGAAATAGAAAGTGTTTAGGAAAGTATCCTCAATAATCAGCTGCTGTAATTCACTTGTGTATTCACTTCCATAGTTGATACATTTTATGTACTGAGAGCTGTGCTGAGCTCAGGGATATGCTATAGCAAGAACTAGTTACATAGTACCAAAAGTACTACAAAGAGATTGGCAGGAGCATAAAATGCAGTAAACAGAGGGGAGGGGAGTGGAGCGGAGCTTAGGGGGTTAAGGGAGACAGTGGGGACAAGTTTAAATAGGATGGTTAAGTAATATTATCTTTCTGTGGAACACAACTAAAAAGGTCAACAATGTGAATTTTTTTTTACTTATAAAATTTCCTTACTAGTATTATTATTAAATATAAGAAAATACATAAAAGCATTCCATTGAATATTTAACACATTGTTGATAGTCAAAATAGAATATGGACATAAGCTTTTTTGTGCTGTTCTGTTAGGGGAGATTAATTTGAAAACCAGAAAGTTTTCTTATGGCTTTTGGAATTTAGGGGATGAGCAAAACTGTGAAACTAGACATAAAATTGGCCACTCACACAGGATTTAGTAGAAGACTTTGTCTTCCCCCATGTTTGTCTTATCTTGTTTTAATGACACAGAAAAGTTTTTAAGATTCAAAATGGGCTGACTCAGTGACTGTTAACAAAATTCCAAAATCCTCCTATGCTGGTAGAGTCAGAAATGGCAAAAAGGATTTTATCCCATAGGAACCATTTGAAGCCACCATGTTCTTGGTTGGAACTTCTTTTTTCTTAAAATACTATAGCGTGGCTATAAAAGAAAATTGAAATCCTGAAAGCTAATCAGCATGGTCTTGGCTTAATGTTTCAGATTGTGTTCTTTGCTGCCTTTTATGAGAGATTCATAGAGGATAAAATTCAGCAGTTCGTTGATTTATGCTCTATGAGTAATGTAAGTATTTTCTGACTTTATCTTGCAACTGTTATTTTTCCCTTTTTGAAGGTCATGAGTACATTAAGGGAGGCTTTAAAAGTGATTTGGTATGATTGGATTTTTAGTCTAATGTTCCACTGGCTGTTCATTCCAAAGATAGTTATAATGAGGTACAGTACTCACTGCCTTAGGCTTTTGTTTATTTGTAGTAATTATTATAGCTCTCTTGTTCTGCTAAATTGGTGTTCATCTCATGGTCCCTGATAATTTTTAATATATCGAAATTTCTTCCTTTCTTGGAAAAAACCTTCAACCAACCTTTCAATCTACTTTTTAAAAATAACCTTATCCTTTATTGCCTTATGCTTTTCATGTATTTCCCAAGAATTCAGTCCTCATTAGTTTGGGAGAAAGATAGCAATTTGAAGAAAAGCTTTTTATTATTTTGCAGAGGAGTTACTAATTGCTCCTTTTTCTTCTCTTTTTGTAGATATCAGTCTTTCTGTTATCCCACCGATGTTTTGGATATTACATTCATGGTAGATCAGTACATGGGCATGCAGATACTAACATGGAAGAAATGAACACGAATCTTAAAAGAGAAGCGGTATGAATGTTACCTCTTTTTGTTTTTAAATTGAAAGATGGGCTTTAATCCAGGAATTACAAAATTTTTAAAAGAAAATCCTCGTTAATCACTTTTGAAAGTTGCCAGGGTACCAACTTACTGCCCTGAATATTGGTAAAAGGTAAGATTCTAATTTTATCCTATAGTTCCTATATAAACCACATTTCAGAGTAACCAGATAACAGATGAAACTTCTTCCTTATAAAAGAAAGTGGAAGGAATTCTAACTTAGAAAAATCACCTCTTTGTAGTGACTAATGGATTAATGAATGCAGGCTGCAGTCATTAGTGCATGAGTGAGGTTAGCCTGACCCAAAAGACCAAAAATCGTATGTTCTCCCTCATAGGCAGACATTAGATCAAGGGCAAACACAACAAGGGGACTGGACTTCGATCACATGATAAAGCAAGAGCACACAAGGGAGGGGTGAGGATAGGTAAGACACCTAAAAAACTAGATAGCATTTGTTGCCCTCAACGCAGAGAAACTAAAGCAGATACTTTAAAGTGACAGAGGCCGATAGGAGAAGGGGACCAGGAGCTAGAGAAAAGGTTAGTTCAAGAAGAATTAACTTAGAAGGTAATACACGTGTACAGGAAATCAATGCGAGTCAACTCCCTGTATAGCTATCCTTATCTCAACCAGCAAAAACCCTTGGTCCTTCCTATTATTGCTTATACTCTCTCTACAACAAAATTAAAGGTAAGGGCAAAATAGTTTGTGCCGGGTAGCAAGGGGTAAGGGGGGTGGGTAAGGAAGGGAGTGAGGGGGGAAGGGAGAGGGCAGAGGAAAGGGGGGAGAAATGACCCAAACATTGTATGTACATATAAAAAAAAAAAAAGCAAGTGTTGGTGAGGAACTAGTAATGAGGGATTGGGTTAATATCATCTGTATGTACTGACTCTTGAAAAAATGACATGATCTGCTTCCTGATCATCACATCATCTGTGAAGTATTGCCTAAGAAAATTGAGCAATTACAGGAAATACAAGGGATAGCAGGATAAATTAAACAGCACTGTCGGAAGTATTTAGCTAGACTCCAAATATAGGATGCCTTATAGGATTAATGATTCAATGTCTCCAAACCAACCAATGGCATGAAAAGAAAAGGAGGGATGATGGTAGTGGTAGAAGAGCTATTATATAGTAAAAGAAGTTTAAGAAAATTCTGATTTAGACAAACCAACAAAAATCTTTGGAAGATAAATCTGAAAAATGTAATAGATGCAATGTTGACTTATTTTGAATAATAATTAATCTTATTAGGTATGAAAATGGCATGGTAATTATTTTTTTAAAGTCCTTATTAGATATTTACAGATGAAATGTCTTGTTTTATTTTGTTTTGTTTGGCAGTACTGGGGTTTGAACTCAGGGCCTCATACTTGCTAGGCAGGTGCTGTACCACTTGAGCCACTCTGCCAGCCCTGGAGTCTGTGTTAAAATACTCTTAAAACTGGGCATCCGTGCACACCTGTAATCTCAGCACTCAGGAGGCTGAGGCAGGAGGATCACCAGTTGGAAGCCAATCTGGGCTCACTGTATTTTTCTTTCTCAAAAAAATAAATAGATAGTAAAATACTCTAAGAAAGAATAAAGTTTAGAGGATTAATTAAGCAAAAATTGGTTAAATGTTCATAATTGTTCATAATTGAAGCTGTGTGATGAATAGTTTACCATTCTTTTATGTGCATTTGAGAATGTCCATCATAAAAAATTTAAAAGAACAAGATATACTTAAAAAGAAAACCAAGAGAATTTAGTGACTAAAGGCCATACCTGTAAGAACTTAATATATGATAATAACATCTCAGAGAATTAATTTAATATACTGAACTTGATCATTTGGTTAACTATTTTAATTACCCTGGATTGAAAGGTTACATATTAAAAGATGAAACTAGAAATTTTAGATTGGGGAATGATGATAAAATCATAAAGCATAGAAAGTGTCAAGAATGGAATTACTTAATTTCATTTTATTTATATAGTACATATATCAATCAAAACCAGCATATTAGAGTAAAATATGACAGATATTGATAACCACATTGAAAGTTAAACCAATTTTAAAAACCCCACTAAATTAAAACTTCAGTGGAAAAGTGACCAAATGATTCCAAGAAATAAACTGAAATTGAAGAAACCGATGAGCCTCAAAAAAAACCACCCCTTTAATTCGTAATCAACAAGCTGAATATAAAAACAATGGTCTTCCCCTTTTCAAATTAGGCAGCTTAAAAAAAAAGAAACCTAATACTTAATAGTGTCAAGGACACAGTGAAATGTGTACCCACCAAACAATTGCTCTCGGGTAGATTTTTACATTTGAGCAATATATATCAGGAGCTTCTTAGGATTCCTGATTTTTACTAATTTTATGAATTTAACTTAAGGAAATATTAGTAATATAAACATAATTAAATTTAGGATCTTGGGGAGACAAAAGAAAGTAATGGAGGGGACTAATTTAATTAAGATATTGTAAGTACTTTTGTAAATGTCACAATGTACCCATAGTACAACAATAATATGATAATAAAAATTAAATTAAAAAGTAAATAAATAAATTTAGGATGTTCATCACAGGAGTGATTTATAAGGGGAAAATTTATAATAATTAGAGAATATTAAATAAATTCATTTGCCTTTATAATGAAATCTTTAGTAGATGTTATAATCTTGTCTTATAGAGTATATAATGACAGGCAGAGTTGCTCAGGATATGATATTAGGTTAAAAAGAAATCAGTGTGATTTCTTTTATGCTAGCCATATGTATATTCTTTAGGGAAAGGGCTAGAAATGAAATACCTTAAACTATCTGTAGCTCTGGGTGTTGATATTACACGCTTTTTTTGGGTTTGTTTTCTTTTGTTTTTCATTTTCCTACCTTTCTGTATTTTACAAATTCTCCACAATGGCATGAACTATTTTAATCAAGAAAAAAAAATACTTAAAATAGAGAACTTCATTACCTGTATTTTTCCCTTAATTCTATAGGAAATAAGTGCTGTATTGTGTTTGCAGATTAGGTTTAGGCAAAGACGGAGAATATTAAGTTCTGAAAGTAGATGAACAGGGATTATGGAGGTACAAAATTTGAGCAGAAGGAGCCATTAAGCATTATTGACATTTAGGTGATGGGGTAGGGAAAAATGGCACGTGTTTGTGGCTATCAGTGTAAGTCAAGGAGACCTAAAGTAGATATTGAGTCCATAACATTCACTGTTCAGTCATGTATCACTACCTTTTCTTTGTTAGAATTAATTATTTAAAAAGAGTTTAGAAAACAAAAAAGACCATTTACAATGATTAAATTAGTTAATTTTATGACTAGACATTTTAGCATACATTGAAAGCAGTAAGGTTAATCATAAAGAAAGCTAAGAATATCAATATATAGTGACGATAGTTTGATTTGTATAAGTAGAGCAGAGTCGAGGAGATGATATAAATACTGGCAGGGGAGTATGAATTTGAATAAAGTAGAAATTGATGAAATCTGGAGAGGAATTGGACCCTTGGATAATGTTAGGATCTCTGTCTCAAATATAGTTTCAGTAAATTTCATTAAGTTTCTGAATCTTGTGATGTGTGATACCAAGTAAAAGAAAAATGTATTTTCTTCTTGAGATAGACTTTTTAAAATAATTTTGATCTCAACTTAACTCATTTAATTTTTCAGGAAAATTTGTGTAGCCAAAGAGGTTTAGTACCCAACACAGATGGTCAAACTTTCCAGATTGCAGTTTCTAGCCAGATGAGACTACACTATGACAGAATTCATGAGACACTAACAAGGGTTTGTATAAAATACAGTTCATATATATTTTGCTGATATTTAATGTTATTAAATGCCAAGAACATAAGACATGTGTTTGTTCATTTCTCTTTTTGTATTAGAAAAATGGCCCTGCCAGACTATTGAGCTCATCAGCAAGTACTTTTGAGCAAAGTATAAAAGCATATCATATGATGAATAAGTTTCTTGGTTCTTTCATCGATCATGTATGTATGTCGACATTTTTACTTAAGCTAGGATCAAATTTTTTTTAAAAAGTTAAGTAGGAATGTCAATTATGTCAGTAGTCAACCAAGTCAGTGTGCCTCCCTCTTTTTTTTTTTTTTTTTTGGTGACGTTTAATACTCAGGAATGCTATTTTTAAAAAACATCCTTGCAGCCATCAACAGGGTTTAAGCACAAAGTTAGGTTGAGATTTTACATGTCTATCAGCAGCAAATGATGATTCTCTTAAAATATGTGTGAAGTGTTTGTTAGCAGGTTACTAAAATTTTGTGTATTGCCCATTATTGAAGGCCTTGTGCTATGCTATGATTATATTCCTGACAGGCGTGTTATAAATTGGTTTTCAGCATATCTATCTGTAAATACTACTAAAGGCATTTAAAATTTAAATCATTCATTAAGTGAATTTTGTTATAAATCCTAGTATAGTAAATTCATTTTCCTTGCATACTTTATTGTTCCTATTTCTGATTTTGCACCAGTTGGAAAGCACATGTTTCACTATTTTTTTTTCATGACTCTTTTCATTTTAGGTTCATAAAGAAATGGATTACTTTATAAAAGATAAATTGCTTCTTGAAAGAATTCTTGGAATGGAATTCATGGAACCAATGGAAAAGAGCATCTTTTACAATGGTATCTTTCAAATACTTTTGTTAATCTTGAACATTGTTTTCAAAGTTTGAAGGGGGGAGGTACTTATAGTTATTTTTCCTATGATTTTTATAATTTTATATAAAAACAAAGGAAACATAATGAACTTAATTTCGTGGAACTATAGTAGTTTTCTGTGTCCCATTTTATATGTCTTGTAGTAGGAAATAAATATATGAAAGATTCTGCATGAAACTGAGCTTCAGAATCAACAGAATACCTCAAAGAGACAGTAAAACAACATAAAATTCAGTTTTTATTAGAATGTTTATCCAGAAGAGAAATATTTAAAGAAAAATAATATTTATAATTAATCTTTAGTATCTTAATTTTTTATTTTGCCCAATTTCTTCAAAATTATTGGTATTTGTGACAAGGATAGTGGATTAACCTGATTTTTTTAATCATCAAAATTATATATGTCGGTTCTAGTGTGACTGATAACCTGTTTTATGGGTTCATAACAATAAAAATGGTGTAACAGTGTCGTGACCTAGAATTATGTATCCATGTGTGCTATGCTACATGGCAAATGTTGTGGCAGTCTTGAGAGACACAGACCAGTGGTTCCCTTTCCTGTCTTTTGTTTAGTAGGTTGGAAGCTGGGCCTGCCTATGAGCAAATAGAGTGTGCTGGGATAGAAGTCTGCAGGCACAGGTTTTTCCAGGGACAAGAAGGACAACAAAAATCTAGCCAGATAGGATGAATTCAGCCAGAAAAGGCAACATGGACCAGTTTGAATAGGTCTTAAAAAATAAGTAGCTATTTGTCAAATAAGAGGGTTATATAGGAGAAAGGGAAAAGGCTTTTCAAAGTCTTTAGGACTGGAGAAGTGGCTCAAGTGTTAGAGCACAAGGCCCTGAGTTCAATCTCTAGTACTGTCAAAAAAAAAAAAAATGTGCAAAGTGTAATCTGTGCTTACAGACTTTATGTAATCTGGCATGAAGTGGGGCACAGTATGAGAGTGCTTGAAAGGGGGCAGAGATCATATCTGAACAGCGTTTGTCAGAGGCTTTGTCTGACATGTGAGGGAGTTTCTTTTTATCATGTAGACCATTGTTTCAAAAATACAAATTTCTTAAAAATTGTAATATGAAGAGTGATTAATACATTTTTTCTATTATGAGAGTATATGCTCAGCATTTTATTATGATAAAAATGCATGATGAAAACATTTTGGAAGCCACTGCTGATGAATGTGGGTATCATTGAAGTGTGCTCAGCAGATTTGATTTATAAATTGTATGTCTTACTCAGGCAGTGTGGTACAGGTTGAGTAAAAGAGAGTGTTCATTAAGAATGTAGCTTTCCCTAGTCATGGTGGCACATGCTGGTAGTCAGTGAGATGAAGAGAATGAGGCCAAAGGATCAAGAATATAGCTTTCAAAACCTTCTGGTCTTGGATTCAAACCCTGACTACCATTTCATAGCTTCAGAAACTTGAGAAAATTGGTTAACCTTTCTGAATTTTAGCGCCCTATATATAAAATTAGGTTTGACTTCTAAAGTTTTTATATGATTTTTATATATAAAGAATCAAGAACAATAAATAGTGTGGATAGGTACCCAGGAAAGGGATCTTATTACTGTGTCTAATAATACAGGCTTCTTCTTTGTATGTTCTTCCCTCTTTCTTCTTTCTTCCTCTGCCTTTGGTCTTTCTCTTCCTATCTTCCTTTCTCCTCCTGCCTTCTTCCATTTCTCCATCTTCATCTTCATCAGGAGATGAGGAGAATATGAGATAAGGCAATAAAAATAGAGGCAAAGAAGAAAAGATTTCCAGAAATGTTAAAGGAAAAAGAGGTAGGAAAGAAAGAGTAGACAAAGCTGGGTGCAGTATGTATCTATAATTCCAGCTACTCAAGAGGCTGAAGCAGGATTGGGAATTCAAGGACAGCCTGGGCAACATAGTGAAATCCCAGATCATAAGAAAAAAAGAAATAGTAGATAAAAATTATCCAGCTATCCAACTTGTGTGACTAAGTAGTTCATTAATGATGCCTTTCCTTAATTCAGGGAATGCATATGGAGGACCAGATTTTGAGGGCAAGATGATGAGTTTAGTTTTGACTGTATTGTATCTTGAGATACCTTTGGGACATCTAGGAAGACATGACCAGTATGGCATTAAATATAAGGGACCAGATCTTAGGAAAAAGTAAAAGCTTACAATAAGCTGGGGAGTTGCTGTCCAATGATGTCATTGCTGGAGCACTACTAATGGAAGATCACCAAGGGAGAACATGGAAGATAATTTTATTTTCCTAACTTTTATACATGGTATAATATCCATAGATCAATGTTTGTTTTGTAAGGGTATAACTGGCAGGTTAGTGATTTTCACAAACTGAATATATTCTTGTACTTAGCACCCAGATCATAAAATTACCAGTACATGGATGTCTCCAAAACGGGTTCTTCACTAGGTATTCATGGCAACATCAGTGGTTCTCTGGACCTTCCAGAAATTGCTTGCAGAATTTGTATATGTGTACCTTTACCCCCTCTGGTGAATGGTTCTATAGTGTTTGTTAGATCTTTTTTAAAGGGTGTTTACATTCCCGAAAGGACAAAACCTACTCGTTGAGTGAGTCAAGAGGTCTTGAATCAAAACCTTAAGTGACTATTTGAGACAGAAATTCTAGAATACTGTGTACTAGTCTATGCCTTGCTGTTTTTTTGTTTTTCTTAAACTTACTGTATCTTAGGAAATCATTCTAGGATCAATTTAGTCTTTCTATTTAAAGAAATAGAAAAGGAAATTCATTAAATGGTCTTTGAAAGGTATTGATTACATACTTACACTACTAGCAATTACCAACCTTTGGTCCTATTATTAAAACTGCTTCTTATGAGTTTTTATGAGTTCTTTAATCTAAATTAGCAAGTCTTAATACTTTCATTTTTTGTGTAAGCTATAAAGTATTGTATGTAGTACTAGTTTCTAATATGCTGTTTCTAAATATCTAAATTTTAGCATCCAAGTTTATTACAGATTTGTTCTATTTTTTAATTTCTAACATATCTTATAAATTGTTTTTCAATAGATGAAAGTTATTCTTTCAGCAGTATGCTGTATTATGGAAATGAAGCCACCCTTCTTATTTTTGAGCTGTTGTTCTTTTGTGTTGTGGATTTGGCTTGCCAAAATTTTATTTTAGCAGCCTTCCTTACATACCTACAACAAGAGGTAAATGTAAAATTTTTTTCTGGGTTTCTTTTAAAAGAAATATATTGGAAGTAGATATTTACTTTCACAGCAGAGAGTAACAACATCCACTTACAGTAGGAATTTGAAAAGGTTTAGAATATGATTAACCCTACCAAAAGAAGGAATAGAATCACATTCTGTGCTCTGCCTTTATGGTCAATGAAATGCTAGGTTCTAGTGGAGAACATAAGCTGCTTGAGCAGTGAATGAAATCTGGAGGAAGATACTTAATTGCCAGGCTCCTCATACCAAAAATGAGCAGTAATTTAGGAAAAGTTCCATTCATAATCCTGCAAACACTGAAGATCTAGCTCACGGCTCACAACTGGAAAGTCTACAATGCTCACTTGTCCTTCCCTATATGGATAATAAGTAACTGCATGGATGAAGTCTCTGAAATGGAGATTTCCAGAAATGGCAACTCAGTGCTTCTTGAAATGTTGTTAATTAATATCACCCAAATATTCTCCACTGTGCCAAGGAAATATACAAGTCAGTAAGATGTCATTTATCAGTCCTTGTTAGAGATCTAGAATTATGAACAAATTCTGCCTCTGTGACACTTCCATAGCTTTTAGAGTTAGAAGAAAATTGCCTTCCCAAATATTTCAGTAAGTAGTTGAAAGTATTAGCTAATTTAATTTAAATACTTTAATGATGTACTTATGTATTGTCTTTATAAATATCTCATCCTCTGTTGCTTAATTTTCTAGATTTTTAGATTTATCCGTAATACAGTAGGACAGAAGAATTTGGCAGCCAAAACACTGGTGGATCAAAGATTTCTGATTTAATTTATTGATTAGATAACTTAAGGACTCAACGTTATATGGCAAAAAAGTAATGATATCAGGTTAGTTGGCTATATTTTTAATAACTTGTAATATAAATTATTCTGTTTTGGTTTTTATCTACAGAAAAAATTATTTTTATAACCTTTGAAAATATAACATGATAAAGTAAGAAAATATTGCTCTCGCATTATGCATGGCATTTAATTCATTAAATAATAAATAACATTTACAAAATTTTTTGTGTTACAAAAAATAGATGTTGCTTTCACCTAAACACATTTTAATGACAATCAAAATAGTCCTCATCATTTGAAGATCATTTCATAAGATGTGATTACCACCATTATTTCACATCAGCAAAATAACTAGATTCTGAGTTTAAGACTAATTTTCAGCTCGGTATTTACATTTATGGTTAAATAAATGTTGAAAGATATTTTCAAGTTTACTTAGAAAATTTGAATTGTACTATTGGTGATTCAACTTGCCTCATTCTTATTGTTCACCCTGTTGGGCAGTGTACTGATTGACAATCAGATATCTCACGTCACAAAACAGTACACATTCATTCCTTCATCTATCTGTATTATTAAGTCACTGTATTCTTTCCATGAAGTATATTGACATTTTTACTGTGGTTTACATTTATTAAGCCATAAGGTACATTTTCCTCCTATAGTTTTTTAATACAGTTTTAATTACTTAATATTTTAAGAGTACTCCTCCAAAGTTTTGCTTAAAGATTATTTAAAAAGTTATGTTTAAAGATTATAAATAACAATCTGTAAATTATCATGTTATGTTGATAAGGAAACTTACTGAAAGCAAACTAAGGCTTCATAAATCAGTAGGCTCATTTTTTAACAAAAAGAAATTGGATTCAAAATATAATTAGGTTAAATTCTGAACCATGTGGCTAGTAATTTGCTGGTTTTTTCCTCAATGAACTTTCTAATAATTCTCATCGTATACCATATGCTATTTTAAGTGTGATGGTCATTAACCCCCCAAAACAACATTTTTTAGATAACATATGTATTTTTTATTAATGTCTAGTGACAAGTAGATACATTTGAGTAAAGTTGAACATAAATATTTTGAAACATCTGAAACAGTTGTAACTTGTACACAAATATCCAATTTCTTTTTTTATTTAGAACTCATTAACAAGGGGGTTTCACATGAAAATTCCTTGTATGTATATACTGTATTTTGGGCAAATCAGAACAACATTTTTTACTGCCTTCTACACTGATGCTGTGTAATAATACTTAAATGCAATTATATGTAAATACTGTGTATGTTTCTGAATTGAAAATATATAATAAAATATATAACATTTCTATTTCTTGTTTGATTAATGTATACTCCAGCCATTGCCAAACTTGTATCTTTTACTTTTCCCTGAACCTTGAGGATGTCTGAGGAGAAAAAGGGAGGACTAATAAGTCAAGTCTTTGAAACTCCAGTTTCTGAAGGATTACAGGAATGTCTTTATAAAAGCTGCCAAGATAAATAAGTATATCAGCATAGATTTTTAAGAATTATCCACTCTGGAACATGTGAAAGAAATTCGAACCTCATTCCACATTTGAAAAGTTATTATTAGTGTGAATGTTTTTAAATGGTAAATTTCAAAATATAGAATCAGCTGGTTCACTTGTTGATAAAGGAAAACAGAGAAAGCATTTAGATATCTTTCTAAGTTAGTTTTGTACAATGTTGCTTTACATTTTGGTTAGATGTACAACATGTATTCAGATTTTCATACAATGTTGGCTCTTTTGTTCACATTGCCACAAGTAAAACTCTATGATCAACTGTGTAATTTTCCACTGAGCCCATTGCCTTTTGCTATTTCTGTAGCACCTATCCCTAATTTTACTGATTTCCTAGAAACATTTGCTGTGTCTCATATTTTCATTTCAAATTGAAGCAAACATTTGAGAGTATCTTTTAAGCTGTTGTGTACTTTGTATCCTCCATAAAAATACACAGGCCCCTAACATTCTTCTGCAAACAAGTGCCTGTTACAAGAGATCAATGTGCTTGCTTCTCCAGTGCCTCTGTCCTAACTAGCTGCCTTTAGAGAAAGCCGAACTTCGTACCTAAGTACAGGAGCATTCACAGTGACCCATTAACTCAGCACTTGCAAGCACGAAACATGGGTCCTTTTTGTTGTGTGTAAATATTGACCAATACAAGCTGAGGAGAAATAAGTCATAGGGCAGTGAGCATTGTGACTTAATGGAAAAGTTTCCAGATTTAGTAATAGAAGCCCTGCCTTAAAGGTATAGTTCATGGACCAGGTTATTTGACATTGTAGAGCTTCACTCTACCTCTCTACAATGGAAATATACCCTGTGTTTACCACCTGGGGTGTTGTTATAAGGATTAGTATATTAACATATGCTTAACAGGAGGCTGGGGTAGAATGCTTGCCTAGCATGCACCAGGCCCTGGATTTGATCCTCAGCACTGAAAAAAAAACCTTATTATAACAGTAAGTAAACTATGAACACAAAAGATCATTTTTAGCACTGGCATTCTTACCTATTTTAGCTTAAAATATCTGCCTCACAATATATTTTTTTTCTCTATTCTTTTTCCTGTTTTTGATTTTTTTTTTTTTTTTACTGTTCTGCTGGGTAGGGTACATTGTGCCATTTACAAAAGTTCTTACAATATATCACATATATCATACTTAAATTCACTCCTCCACCATTCTCCTTCATCCTCCCCCCCATTCCTGTAACAGTTCCAACAGATATCATTTTTCCATTTACATACATGTGTTCACAATGTGAACAAATGCACCATATTCACCCTCCTTCAAAATATATTATCTATCTTGCTAATAAATTAGTCCCATGATATGAAAACTCAGATTACTGATCTCAGTAACTGACCAGTGGAAATTTTGAGCCTTCCTTCTTCACTTCACCAGGAAGAAACCCTGGCAGAGGGCACAGTATGAAGTGAGGGACAGCAAGGAAGAAACTCTCTTTACCCCATGTTAGAGGCACAGTTCATGACAAAGGGTGGAGAAGGGAGATGGAATATAGGCTCTGGAAGGGAGGATAACTTTCATTTGCTCATTAATTCATTCAGTGTCTCTCCCTCTTCCCACTTCCCAGTCTTTCTCCAATTAGTAGAGGAAAAAGGACTGTTAACCAGTAACTATAGCAATGTGCAAAACGCTACAGTTACAAGGGTATGTCATAAGACAAACTCTTAACTGTGCTCTTAAGTCTTCAGGGCTTTAGCCTCAGAGAAGTGGTATTTGATGTGAGATTTAAAGATAAACCAAAAGACAAGTACATCCAAAGCAAAGAACAGCATGTACTCAGAGACCAGGAAACACGTGGCAGTTTAGGGTACTACAGGAAGTCTGATAGAGTACATGTGTTGTTTGTATTTTTTTTATCTTCTGTATGTTATAACATCTTTAAAAACCTTTTTGGTGGAGAGAGAGAGCTGTAGCTGGAACAAGCCAATTCTTAGAAACAGAAAGGGCTCAGGTTGGGAGCCTGTCTTTGACAAGCTAATCAGTCCTGAGTCATCCCCCAGGAGGGAATATTCTTCTCTTGATCATCCCAGAGCCAGGATACAAGCTGAGGGCCATGGAATTCTCAAGCCAGTCCTAAATGTTTGCCCTGCCCTGCCTTACCTTTCCCTTGGAGACTCCAATAAAGACCCAGTTTCCCCTTACCGCTGCTCATGTGCTTTTGGACTGGTGTTCTCTGGCTCTGCACCATGCACCATGCCTCCTGTTTCTAGAACCTGTGAACAGAATAAACTTTTTCTGTATCTCCCTTGTAGCCATGCCTGACTGATAATCACATAAAAGAATACAGGACAGAACATTTGGGAGGGAGGGAGAGGAGGTTGGAAAGGAAAACAGCAGTCACGTGATAAAGGTTTTTACATCAAGCCACACCTCCATCACATATGGAGCGTTTAACCAGGCTAAGTTTGCTAGTTGTGGTTACATGGGAAATGTCCCCAAAAAAGGCTCATGTGTTGAATGCTCTGTCCCCAGCTGGTGACACTATTGAGAGGTGATAGGGTCATTAGCGTCCTTTATGAATAGGTTCATCGATTGATGAATTCATACACCTGGGCTGTTAGGTGCGGGGGCTGGGCCACTGGGTGCAGTGGGAGACCAGTAACTAAACAGACTGAGGAGAGACCTTGACATGAGCAAGACCATACCAAAGTCCTGTGTGCTGAGAAGGCAGGGCCTCGGCACGAAGGAGGTGAGCGAGGTTCAGCGAGGCTGCCTTCCAAGAGGAGAGACAGCTCTGTCAAAGGGCCTCTTGGCTGACAGGCATGGACCCAGCCAAGGGGAGGCAAGGTTCAGCAAGACTGCCTTGCAAGAAAAACGGGACATGCTGACACAGTCAGGATAGTCTGTAGTAAATAACAACATACCACAGCTGTGCTGTTCCTGCCGCCTACACAACTGGACCCATGAGAACACAACCTGCACTCCACCCCACTTTCCCATACATGTTATATAAATAAATGGGCTTTGAGGCTGGGGGTGTCACCGCAGCTTTTCTGGGGTCTGTCTGTGTCTTTTTTCTCAGTCCCCAGTCACTCCCAGTCAGGTCAAGGGACCTGCTCGTGCTGGCCGGGAGAGGTGCTTGCCTTTGAAGGGTCCTGTGCCTGCCTTCCTATCTCTCTTGCTTCCTGGCTGCCATGAGTGAGCAGCTTTGCTCTATCTCTTGTTCCCCACCATGAGGTTCTCCTGCACAACTGCCCAGAAACATTTGATCCAGCCCACCATAAGCTGAAACCTCTGAAACTGAGCCAAAGTAAATTTTGCCTCCTTTAAGTTATTTTCTCAGGTATTCTGTCACAGCAATGGAAAATTAACACACTAGCTTAACCTTCAAATGAATACAATTGGCCCTCTGGGATGCAATGATTTTACTAACGACAAATTGAATTTTTTTTTAATATGTCTGGGGCTGGGATGGTGGGAGGGTTGGCTCAAGTGGTACAGCGCCTGCCTAGCTCATGTGAGTTTAAACCCCAGTACCATGAAGGAAAGAAGGAAAGGAAGAAGGGAGGGAGGGAGGAGAGAGGGTGGGAAAGAAAGAAAAAAGAACTGAACCTGTGTCTAGCTAGTGTGAGGCTCTGAGTTTAAACTCTAGTACCGCAAAGGAAGAAGGAAAGACTGGAGGGAGGGAGGAAAGGAAAGAGGGAGGGAGAGAAGGAAAGAGGGAGGCAGGGAGGGTCTGTACTGAACCTGTGCGGACTTCTCTCCTTGTCACTATAAACAATATAGTATAACAACTG